CTCGTAAGATCCGCGAAAACCTCGTAAGATCTCGTAGTATCTACGAACATTTAAAATCATATTTTCGCAATTTCTCTGAAGACCTCGTCAAATCTCGTATGTCTGAAGGTGTTGGGAGTGTGATCATTCCTGGCTACAGTCCATTCCGACCGAGTGGAATTGGGACAAGTCGGTTGGGATCCGTCCCACTTCCAGGTGGCCCCCCCCGCCCGTTTCTGGCCAGCAGGAAGTGGGGAGGAAGGCCCCCTCGTCACCATAGTTGGACGTGGCTCGAAAAACTTGGCCCTCTGGACCCTAGGAGGGGTCCGGGGACCGATTTTGAGCGGATGTGTCATCCCTCCCCTCTGAAGGATTCCTTTTGGGTTGGTCCAGCTCAAATCCTCCAGCCGCCTCCAACCTGATGTTGTTCACAATTTTCGGGCTCAAGACGCTTCCCACGGGCCCCAGGCCATTCTCGTGATCTCGGGATCAGCAGCTGGTATTGGGGTGCAGGGCCTGTTTCCCTCAGGACCCACTTGCCAAATTTTGAAGACGAGTAGCGTGCATCCTCCGTACCATACCTCGACGGCAGAGCGACAGCAGCTAAGAGGATGAGGAGGACGAGGAGGGGAGCGATGAGGAAGAGTGCGTTGGCGAAGGGTGGCAAGGAGGACAACGTCATCGAAGAAGGAGGACAACGTCATCGAAGAAGGAGGACGACGTCATCGAAGAGGAGGAGGACAACGTCATCGAAGAAGGACAACGCCATCGAAGAAGGAGGAGGGGGGGAGGATGAGGAGGACCACGTCGTCGAAGAGGGAGGAGGAGGACCACGTCGTCGAAGAGGGAGGAGGAGAAGGGGGGGAGGGTGGCAAGTTCTGCTGCCGCCGCGGGCCCCGACCCCCGCACATGCCCCGCAGAGGCCCCCCCGAGGCCCCTGGAGGCCTCCTCCTCCTGCCATCCCTCTCCTCCCTCCCTCCTCCCCTCCCTCCTCCCTCCTCCCTCCTCCCTCCCTCCCCCCCCTCCCTCCTCCTCCTCCCTCCCTTCCTCCTCCCTCCCTCCCTCCCTCCTCCTCCCTCCTCCCTACTCCTCCCTCCTCCCCTCCTCCCTCCTCCCTCCTCCTCCCTCCCCTCCCTCCTCTCCTCTCTCCTCTCCTCCCTCCTCCTCCCCCCTCCCCCCTCCCCCTCCCCCTCAGTCGGGGAGGCCGCTCGTGAATCAGGGCTGGACCTAAACGATGTGTTGGCGGTTTCGTGGGCCGTCTTCGTTTCGATTTTTCGTTCTGCGGTACAGGCGGATTGCAGCCATAAGCGCGGGACAACGAAAACAAGACGAAAACAAGACGAAAACGAAAAACACCGCTTAGGTCCAGCCCTGGGGGAGGCCACTCCCGAGTCGGCCCTCCTGCGTGGGAGGCGCTCCGCCCCCCCTCCCATCCGGGCCCAGCCGTCCACTCGCGTTGGGCTCGTCCCGGGTCCCGCAGCGGAGCCCGCCGCGCCCGCCTGCTGGACGACGTTCAAAACGGTTGGCAGGAAAAGACAACAAACAAACAACAGAGAAAGAGAGAGAGAGAAAAAACAAACATCAAGAAACAAGAGAGAGAGAGAACAGACATCAAAACACGCAAGAGAGACCGTTCAAAACGGTCGACATGAACAAGACAGAGCAAACCGAAGAGCCTCCTGCCAGGGATCTTTCTCTTCCTCAGTGCCCTCCCGAAGTAGGGGTGGCCACTCCTGAAGTAGGGGTGGCCACTCCGGAATCAGCCCTCCCGCACTGCCGCACGGGCATCTCTATTTGGAGGCCTGACGCGGGCCAAGGCGTCGAACCCCCCCCCCCGACCCCTCGACCCTCGAGCGTCGGTGGCAAAACTTGGCAGGGGGAGAGGAACCGGGTTCCATCTCTCGATTCGATCGATCCGATTCGATCTCGACTCGGGCCAGCCCGATTCGACGGGCGGATAGGAACGGGGTCCGTCTCGATTCGATCGGTCCGATTCCACCTCGACTCGGGCTGGCCCGCTCCAATCCAATTCCGATGTTCCGGCGATCTGACGCAGCCCGATGCTCGCGCGGGCGCTGCGGTGCATCCGGGCGCAGCCTTCGGCGGACCTCTTTTTCCGTGCCGACGCAGACTGATCCGACGCACTCTCCGATCCGACGCGATTGCCCGAGTCGGTGCCGTGACTGGTCCTGGGGAGGAGGCGACAGTCGCAGGCCTAGAGATTGACACCAACACCAATATCGGCGGTGTGCCTCCACCGAGGGAAGAAGACCCCGACCTCGGCCATGCTGGTAACATTCTGGCTTCCAAGGTGGCCGAACTATTACCACCAACACCGAAATCCAGGATCATCTTCCCCCTGTGGAGGCAACCCCCTGTGTTGGTGTCGGTGCTCATGTCCAGGCCTCCAGGACAGGCCCGAGAGAGCGTGGCGCGGGGAGTGCGCCCGAGGGCTGGCCGTGCCGGGGCGGAGGGCACGGGAACGGTCCTGGTGCGGGGAGAGCGCGACGGCCCCGCCCAGATGGACGAGGCGGACTTCCGGGCGCCGCCGTTCTTCTTCTTCTGCTTCGGCGGCCTGGAGAGGACCGCCCCTTGTTCTTCTTCTTCTCCTGCTTCGGTGGCTTGGGTGCTGGGCCTTCTGGGGGACCGTTTCTGCTTCGGCGGCCTGGAGAGGACCGCCCATGCCCTCGTCGCGAGCAGGCGGCAGCTCCACACCCACGGCCTCGCGGGCGCGGTCCCCGGGCCGCGACCCCACGCCACGGGCGCGGGGCGTTTTTTTTTTTTTTTTTTTTTTTTTTTTCTCCTTTCGCGGGCGCTGCTGCTCCTCGCGCGGAGCGTCGTCGTGCGACCGCGAGGGCGTGGATATCGAAACGTTCGCCGCTCGTGGCTCCAGCAGGCCGTGAGAGGGGGGATCCGCCGGCTGACGAGAGAAAGGGAGAGAGAGGAAAGAGCGCGCTCTGTGGTGGCTTGGAGGAGGGGGGGGTTTGGAACCGGATCCCCCCCCCTGGATGGAGGGGGGGGGGAAGTTCGAACCCCCCCTCCCCCCACCCCTTCCCGTGACGGAGGGGGGGAGGGGTTCGACCGCCCCCCCCCCCTCCTCCCCTACTTCTCCTCTCTCCCTCTCCTCGGGCTGACGCCGACGTCGGCGGCGGCTGGCTGCGGCGGCGGGGACGGCGACTTCCTTTTCTGGGCCTGCGGCGGCGCCTGCGGCGGCGGGCTGCGGCGGTGGGGAGCGTCGACGAGGACGACGGCGTCGACGAGGACGACGGTGACGACGATGACGACGGCGACGACGCTCCGCCACCGTGACTTGGTTTTCGGCCAGAGTCCTAATGCATGCCTCTTGGGGTCTCGTCGGAGGGCTTTCGGCGGCCTCTGAAGGGCATTTGTGAAGCCTCCTGGGCGCTTCTTGGGCGTCTCTTAAGGCCTCTGGGGTGGTGGCGGTGGTGGTGGGCTGAGGTGGTGTGGTGGTTGTTGTGGTGATTGTGGTGGCAGGTGGTGGTTGTGGTGGCGGTGGTGGTGGTGGTGGTGCGGTGGTTTCTGGTGGTGGTGGTGGTAGTTGTGATGGTGGTGGTGGTGGGTTAAGGGGGTGATGGTGGTGACGGTGGTGGTGTGGTGGTTTGTCGTGGTGGTTGTGGTGGTGGTAGTGGTTGTGGTGGTGGTGGGTTGTGGTGGTTGTGGTGGCGGTGGTGGTTGTGGTGGTGGTGGTTTGTTGTTGTTGTTGTTGTTGTTGTTGTTGTTGTTGCTGTTGAACTCTAATTACTGAAGAATAATTATTGTTGATCCCCCCCCTCCGGCGGACATTGTATTTTTTCAATTGAAGTGCCCCTTCCGGGGCTCGCACCCTGTTTTTTATCAGGGAAAGTCGTGGGCATCAAACTGCGTTGTTGGCCCCCCGGACAACAACAACAACGGCTCCCGCCTGATACTTCCTCCAAATTTACTCAGGACCCCCGCCCCCGCCTGGGACTTCCTCGCAGTTTACTCAGGCGGAGGCGCTCCCGCCTGAGACTTATAAAATACTCCGGACCCCCGCCCTCTCCTGCCTCCTCCCTCCTCCCTCCTGTTTCTCCTCTCTCCTTCCTCGTCCCTCCTCCAAACTCCCTCCTCCCTCCCTTCCTCCCCCCTCTCTCTTTCTCTCCCTCTCTCTCTCTCCCTCTAAATCGTCCTCCCCCCTCCGCGTCCTGTCCCTCCTAGCATCTTCCCTCCTCCCTCGTCCCTCCCTGCTCCCTTCCATCCTCCCTCGTCCCTCCGCTCGCCCTTCCAAAGAGAAATAATCCCCCTAAAGGGGGTACGTTCGAATACTAAGAGGGCGGGTATCGAGGGTGTGCCTCGTGATTCATTCAGGATTCACCCTTTAGTCACCCGCCCGCCAGGTTTCGCCCGCCCGATCCGCCTGTTACAGCCCGCCCGTTCGCTCTCTTGGCATCTCGCCCGCCCGCTTTAAGCCACCGCCCGCCCGACCCGCCAGCGAGGGTCCGCCGCCCGACCCGTCCGTTGGCGTCCGCCCGCCCCGCCAGCCCGACCCGCCCCTCAGAGTCCGCCGCTCGACCCGTCTGTCTGGTTCGTCCGTTTGTTTACCTCCTCTTTTGCCCCCCTCCCCTCCTGCTAACCTCTTTCGTCCTCCATCCATCCTCCCCCCTTGCCCCTTCCCTCCTCCCTCCCTCCCCCCACTCTTTTCCTCCTCGCTCTCCCTTCCTCCTTCCCCCTGCTCTTCCTGTTTTAGGGGCTGCGCCAACTACACGTGGCGAGTAAAAAAGATATACCCCCAAAGGGGTATGACCGAAGACGAAGAGGGTGGGTATCGAGGGTTTGGGATTTACATATTGAGTGACGCGCGCGCATATAAGAGCGATCAGTCTTAAGATGATTGTTGTTGTTGTTGTTGTTGTTGTTGTTGTTGTTGTTGTTGTTGTTGTTGTTGTTGTTGTTGTTGTGGTGGTGGTGGTGGTGGTGGTGGTGGTGGTGGGGTGGCTGGTGGCTGGTTGGTGGTGGTGGTGGGTGGTGGTGGTGTGGTTGTTTGTTGTGGTGGGTGGCTGGTGGGGTTGGGTGGTGGTTGGTGGTGGTGGCGCTGGTGGTGGTTGTGGTGTGGTGGCGGTTTTGGGTGGTGTGGTGGTGGTGGTGGTTGTGGTGGTGGTTGTGGTGGTAGGGTGGTGGTTGGGTGGTGGTGGTGGTGGTGGTTGTGGTGGTGGCTGGTGGGGTGTGGTTTGTGGTGGTGTGGGGGGTGGGGGTGGTGGTGGGTTGTGGTGGTGGTGGTGGCGCTGGTGGTGGTTGTGGTGGTGGTGGTGGTTTTGGGTTGTTGTGGTGGTGGTTGTGGTTGTGGTGGTGGTTGTGGTGGTGGGTGGTGGTGTTGGTGTTGGTTTGGTGTTGGTGTGGTGGTGATTTGTTGTGGTGGTGGTGGGTTGTGGTGGTGGTGGGTTGTGGTGGTGGTGGGTTGTGGTGGTAGTGGTGGTGGTGGTGATGGTTGTGGTGTGGTTGTTTGTGGTGGTGGTGGTGGCGGTGGTGGTGGCGGTGGTTTATGGAGGTGGTGCTGGTGGTCTCGGTGGTGGTGGTGGTGGTGGTTGTGGCGTGGTTGTTTTTGGTGGTGGTTTGTGGCGGTGGTTTGTGGTGGTTGTGCTGGTGGTGGTGGCGGTGGTTTGTGGTGGTGGTGTGGTGGTTTGTGGTGGTGGTGGTGGTGGTGGGTTGTGCTGCTGGTAGTGAGCGTGGTTTTGGCGGTGTTGGTGGTGGTGTGGTAGACTGTGGTGGTGGTGGTGGTAGTGCTGGTGGGTTGTTGTGGTGGTGGTGGTTTGTTGTGGTGGTGGTGGTGGTGGCCATGGTGGGTTGTGTTGTTGTTTGGTGGTGGTGGTGGGTTGAGGTGGTGGTCGTGGTGGTGGTAGTGGTGGTGGCGGTGGTGGTGGTGGTGGCTTGGTGGTTAGTGGTGGTGGTGGTGGTGGTGGGCTGTGGTGTTGGTGGTGGTGCTGCTGCTGGTAGCGGTGCTGGTGGTGGGTGGTGGGTGCTGGGCGGTGGTGGTGGTTGTGCTAGTTGTGGTGGTCGTGGTGGTGGGGTGGTGGTTTTTGGTGTTGGTGGTGGTGTGTTGTGGTGATGGTTGTGGTGGTGGCTTGGTGGTTTGTGGTGGTGGTAATGGTGTAGTGTTTTGTTGTGGTGGTGGTGATGGTTGTGGTGGGTTGTGGTGGGTTGTGATGGTGGTGGTGGTGGTGGCGTTTTTGATGGTGATGGTGGTGTACTGGTTTGTGGTGATGGTGGTGGTTGTGGTGGTGACGGGTTATTGTGTTTGTGGTGGTGGTGGTGGTAGTGGTGGTGGTGGTGGTGGTGGTATGGCCTTTGGCTCTTCCCGCCACCGTGTTTTGGCTTTGGGTCAGAGTTCTCATGGATTCCTCTTGAGGTCTCGTCAGAGGGGTCTCGGGGGCGTCCGAGGATCATGTGTGAAGCCTCGTGGACTTTCCTGAGGGCCTGGTGGTGGCTGCTGGGGGGCAAGGGCTCGATATGGCGATTTGTGTGTTCTCTCTGCGGCCTCTGGGCACTCTCTGGTCATCGTCGCTGCGTCCCCCGCCGTCGGCGCTGCTGGCCGCCGCCAGCGCCGGCGCCAGCGCCGGCGCGGGGGGGGGGTTTGGACCCCCCCCCTCCCCTTGGGCCCTCTCTGGTCATCGTCGCTGCGTCCCCCGCCTTGGGGGGGGGTTTGGACCCCCCCCGCCTCCCCCTGGGCCCTCTCTGGACATCGTCGCTGCGTCTCTCGCCGTCGGCGCTGCTGGCCGCCGCCGCCGCCGGCGCCGGCGCCGGCGCGGGGGCCGGGGTTTGTCACCCCCCCTCCACCTGGGCCCTCTCTGGTCATCGTCGCTGCGGCCCCCGCCGTCGGCGCTGCTGGCGGCCGCCGGCGCCGGCGCCGGGGGGGGGGGGGTCGGGAGGAGGGGGGGGGGGGTAGGGGGCAGGGGAGTCCCCTGGTTCTGATCGACGGCGCCGAGTGTGCGGGGGGGCCCAGCCCCCGGCTCGAAACGCGCCGCCACATGTTCCCAAGCCAAGCGCCCATGGAACGCGCTCTCTCTCTCTCTCTGTCTCTCTCTCTCTCTCTCTCTCTGAGAGAGAGAGAGAAGCAACGCAAAAAGACATACTGGATGTACGGAGCAGGGAGAGGGACAGTGGGAGTGTAGCGGACGAAAAACGTCAAAGGTGGCCGTCGCGATGATGAGACGATTGGTGATGCTGACGTTGGTAAATCATCTCGGCATTCGCGACAATGGTTATCTTCAGTCCCCGCACGTGCAGGCTAGGAGTGAGCGGCGGTTCTCGGTTTGTAGGTTTCGAGAGTTGTCCGTCGGCGGTGCGCCTTCGGGGGGAGTGGGAGTGGTGCCTGCGGTGCCGAGTCTTCGGCGGCGGGCGAGGGAAGGCGGCGGGGCCTCTCAGAAGCCCTCACGCCTCCTGAGAAGTTTCCTGTGCCGCCGGGAGACGCTCAGAAAACTTCCGACCGATGGGTATTGAAGTGTATGCTTGCGCCAAGCCCCGCCGATGTGCCAGCAAAGTTCGGACATACGTGCAAGATGCTGTTGCCGACCTCGCTCGAGCAGGCTCGGCGGCACCACCGTTTTTGGCCGCCCAGGGAGCGCAGCGCTGCGAGTTTGGCAGCACGCCGTGGCCGCAACGCTGCACGGGCGCTGCGATGTCTCTTCTCTCACTTGTGGGAGAACTTCCGAGCCTTCTGAGATGGCCCGCCCTTTCTCACTGTCCCCCTCCTCCTCCTCCTCCTCCTCCTCCTCCTCCTCCTCCTCCTCCTCCTCCTCCCCCTCCTCCTCCTCCTCCTCCTCCTCCTCCTCCTCCTCCTCCTCCTCCTCCTCCTCCTCCTCCTCCTCCTCCTCCTCCTCCCCTCTGGGCTCGCCGTGGGGGGCCCGCCCCGCCCGGCCCTGCGGCCCTGCCGGCGGCGCTCGTGCCACTCCCTTCCCTCCAACGGCGGCGAGGGCGCGGCGTGCAGCGGAAGGAGCGTGGGGGGAGAGAGGGGACGAGGAAGGGGAGGATAAGGGGGAGGAAGAGGTGGAGGAGGAGGAGCAGGAAGAGGAGGAGCAGGAGGAGGAGGAGCAGGAGGAGGAGGAGGAGGGGAGGAGGAGGAGCAGGAAGAGGAGGAGCAGAAGGAGGAGGAGGAGGAGGAGGAGGAGGATGGAGGGAGGAGGAGAGAGGAGGAGGAGGAGGAGGAGGAGGAGGAGGAGGAGGAGGATGCAGAGGAGGAGGAGGAGGATGCCGAGGAGGAGGAAGGTGAGGAGGAGGAGAAGAGGGAGGAGGAGAAGGAGGAGGAGGAGGAGGAGGAGGAGGAGGAGGAGGAGGAGGAGGAGAGGGAGGAGGGGGAGGAGGAGGAGGTGGAGGAGGAGGCGGAGGCGGAGGAGGAGGAGGAAGAGCAGGCGGAGGAGGAGGGGCTGTCCTCGCGTTTTGAGAGTCGTCTGAGCACAAAGCCCCCTCCTGGCTCTTCCGCGACGCTGTGGGCTTTCCCGGCCAGGCCCCACCGGGCCCCACCACAGAGAGACTTGGTATCGCTCGAACGTGTGCATCTTTCTCGGCGAGGACTATTTAGGAACATCTTGGACCATCTTGCGAAACATACGTGCGCGAAGCCGAACAATGAACGGGGAATGGATGTCCGAGCGATGGCCCCACCTCAGAGAGAGAGAGAGAGTGGTACTTGTAAACTTGTCACGACGGCCAGTTTGCGCCCCGAGCCGGCCAGCCCGTGTCTGACGCGAGAACTCGCGCGAGCTGACCCCGCTCGCCGCGGCGGTGCCGTATCGAAACCGAGAAACGATGTGATAGTCAGAGCTCTCGAGTACGAGAACGGCAACCGCTGCAAAGCCATTCGGCAACATGAACGGCAAGCGATCGTGGTCGCAAAGCCACTGAAACTGCTCGTCATCAGGTCTCACATCCGCAACCCCTGTTACGGTAACGATGCGCTTGAGAGTCGTTACGGGCCAGACCATGCTCTTAGGCGGTTTCAGGCAGCTTGCAAAGGGAACGAGCAGGAGATGGAGGAGGTTTTTTCCCTCCTTTCCTTGGACGGAGAGTAGAGGTACTGGAGGAGAGAGGTGAACGAGCACGGAACGCTGGCCAGAGTCTTGGAAGCGCAAGGAGGGATGAGGGGGAGGCTGAGAAGGAATCTGGAGAAAGAGGATGAGGAGGGTGAGAGGCATGAGGAGGTGGAGGAGGTGGATGAAAGAGAGGGTGGCAACGACGAAGGGAAGCATATTTTCTGGATCTGCACCTTGCAGGATTGAGCTGGACGGCCAGAAGATCGGAGACACTGGGGCCACCGTCATAGCCTCGGTGCTAGCGCACCAGACTACTGTAAAGGTGCTTTTTGTCTCGTGTCCCCCCTTTTCTGAATGCAGTTCAGGGGTTTTGTTTTGAATGCCCTTAGCTCGGATAATGTCGGCATAGAATTTGTCTGAAAAGCCATAGGCGCGCACTTGGATGCCCTTCTGAACCTATCAAGCTGCGTCGTTTTTCGATGCCTGGCGACACAACGCCGACTCTCTGCCCTCCACGTCGACGCCTTCGGCGCCGCGGGATCGGCCTTACAGACCAGTCTCTGTGAGGGGCAGGGCGGCTCGGGGAGTGGCCAGGAGCTGGCCAGGGGTCGTTGGAAGTGTCTGCGTAGATGGACGTTCAAGAGGGGAAAAAACACACAGACACAATTAGTCGGCGATTCCCAGGAAAATATAGGAAAATATGGGAAGTGGGGGGGAAGACAAAAAACCCAGAAAATATGGGAAACTATGGGCGATATTTTTATTTGTGTGTATTTATTTGTGTGTCCCAGTTCCCCTTCAGACGTGTCCAGGCGTCGGCGTACGAAGAGGCGGTGAGCTGCAAGTCGAGAGGCCTGCTCGAAGAGCACTGGCGACCCCAGGGCAGCGTCGCAGACCCACGTTGCACCGAGCTGCGGCCCCCTGCGGCCCACCTTCGCCCCGCCGACCAGACCATGGGCCTCCACCTCTGACTCGGGGCGGTCTTCGCCCCTGCGCTCCTGGTCCCTGCCGCGTATCGCCAGGGAGTGCATGGGCTACTCGAGAGATGCTGCGGTCGCCTCCATCTGCTCTGCTGCGGAGACCCATGCCAGGAAGCGCCCAGCTTGCCTCCAGGGTGCTTGGGTTTCGGTGGTCTTGGTGTGGAAGGCGTGGCGCTCCTACATCAAGAAATCAATGGACGTCCTGGGGTCTCAGGACTGGGTTTCTTTGGAAGGTTTCTCTTGGCCGAGCTCCTACTGTACCTCCTTCTTCTTCCAATGCACATAATCGCCCCTTCGGGGGGGCTGGTTTTCTGAGGATTTCCCACGCGAGGGCGCGGGTTCGGAATTCGTCACTGGATTTCCCAGAAACGGAGCAGGGAGCCCTCCGAGGGCCTCGTTGTTGGGGAGGCTCGGGGGGCCGGTTTTCTGATGGGAGTCGGTTTGGAATTCGTCGCCAGATTCTCCATAGAAGCGGAGCAGGGGGCCGTCTGAGGGACTCTGGTTTCATGAGGATGTTCCACGCGAGGGTGTCTTTTTGGAAGTTGTCGCCGGATTTTCCGTAGAAGCGCAGCAGGGGGAGATGGGCCGGTTTTTCAGGATGTCCTACGCGAGGACGCCAGTGGTCGCCAGATTTCCCTGAAACAGAACAGGGGGCCCTCGGAGGGCATCCTTGGGGAGGCTCGGGGGGTCGGTTTTCTGAGGATGTCCTACGTGAGGGTGCCGTTTTGGAATTCGCCGTTGGATTTCGTCGGAACCGAACAGGGGGGCGGTTGGCGGAGTTCTCAAGACAAGCTCCTTCAAATGAAAAGACAGGCGCGAGGCCATCGTTTGGCACATCGACAGGGGTGCCGAACTTCCTCCACCCAGAAGGAGGGAGTCGGCCACGCGCAGAGGGGGGTGGGGGGGGAGGGGGGAGGGCTTCTTAGAAGCACCCCCTGCTTCTTGGAAGGCGCGGGCCTTATCTATAGATGTAAGGCGGGCGCCTTCTAAGAAGCGGCCTCCTTTTTAAGATGCCCTACCCCCCCTCCCTCCCCCCCCCTGGTGCGCGCCGCCAGAGGAGTCAGTGAGGCAAGTTGGCATCCGGGTGCCTGCGGCAAGTCCGCCGCCGTGACCGTGGAGCCCGTGTTGAGCACTGTGTTCGTTGACCCTTCGAGCACCGCCCAGGAGGCCGTTACAGGACACCTCTCGTCTCAAGTCGGGCCTGTCCCTCTACAGGAGGAATATCCAAAAAGAGTCAAAACATAGTATGGGGACGATTTTAGAGTATTTCTGATTATTTGGCTATTTCTTATCTGTCGCCCAAAATCCGCCTTCAGGGGTACAGGCCCGACCTAACTCTCGTCTCCACTTCTCGTGGGGCTCTCAGGGGGCTTGGTTGAGCTGTCTTGGGATTGTCTTGGGCTCCTGTGACACAGGTTTGGGGTTCCCTTGGGGCTCTCTTGGGCCGTCCTGGGCCCTCCTGGGCCGTCTCGGGGTCCTCTCGGGCCATCTCGGGGCCTTTTGGGGGCCTCGTGTGCCGTCTCGCGGCCTTTACTTAGGCCATCGTGGGGTCGTCAGGAAGCCCTCTCGTGCCAGTCTTTGGCTCTCTTGAGGCCGTCTTGGGTCTTTTTTGGGGCTCTCAGGGCGCCCGCTTGGGATTTCGAAGGCCGAAGAGCGCGACAAACGAATGGCCTGAAAGAACACAACGTTGATAATGTTGTGTTCTTTCAAGCCATTCGTTTGGTACATCGATGCCCTCCTGGAGAGCGCTTTGGGGGCGTCTTGGATTGAAGGGTTCTTGGGAACCATTGGGCGCCTCTTGAGCTGCTGGGTGCTTCTTGGGGCAATGTCGTGTCGCCATGTCGGCCTGGGTGGTCTTCTTGGACCATCCTGGAAGCCTCGGAGAGCTTCGGAGAGCTCCAGGGAAGCGTCGGACCGCCCAAGGAGCCGCGCCGGGGGGCGCGCTGGTATATCTGTCTCTTCGTCCCCCGTGGCCCAGCTGGAAAAGTGCAGACAGCCAGTCAAGCGTCGGATCTCTGATGATTTCTGGGCCTCCAGCAGCAGCCCCCGACTCTCCGGCTGCCCTCTGCCAGCAGCTGTACCTGACCGACAACGAGATCGGGGACGCGGGCCTGGCCGCCATTGCGGCCGCGCTGGGCGGCAACGGGACCGTGCAGAGGCCCGCGTGCCTCCCGAAGCTGGGGGGGGCTGGCGGGCCAGTCCAAACGGTGCATGCTCAGGAGCGACAAAAAGGACGTACACGTGCATGAATCCACGCTGGTTTCGAGAGTACGCATAGCGCAAATGTTCGCCTAACGCGGCAGGTTTCGCGGATCGAGGGGCCGTGTTCATGTACATAGCTGGGCGCGTACGTCCTTTGTGGGCTCCCTACATGCGTGTTTGCGGGATGGAGAGCTCGTCCTCGCGTTTTTCTGAAAGTGTCTGCCACCATCCAGGTCGCCCGTCTGCTACGCCAGGTGGAACGTCGCCTAAGCGTGACCTGGCGTAGCGCGCCGCGACGGTGTCGTCACCTCGCCGCCAGAAGAATATTTTCGGATCG